AGGCAGGCCTCGTTCCTGGAGAACCCGCTTTGCCGGTCTTCGCTGGCGGGGAGGAAGCGAAAAGCGCGCGGCGGCGGCGGCCCTGAACGGCTCTGATCCGGGACGCGCTCCGCTGCGGTCTTACCCGGATCGGCCGTCGGCCTAGCTGCGCGTTCCCGCCGGGCTCTTGACGAAGGAAGATGCTTCTGTGGCGGTCCCGGCTCGCGTTCCGTTCTGGGCAAGGGATGGATGTTTTTCTTTCCTCTCCCCTCTAAGGTTAAAGAAGGGGAAAGAGCTGCAGAGAGCGCAAGATATCAAGGAAGTCAAGCAGAACATCCACCTTATCCAGGCCCCCCATGCAGGTGAGCAGCGGCACCCCGGGCAGCTGGAGATCCTTGCAGAGGGTCGTTTCCGGGGTTCAGCTGGTCCCCAGAACTGTGCCTTGGCCTGGTGGCCTGATGTTTTCAGGGATTTGCCTGCGGTCTCCTGGGTACCTGGTTCAGAAGCTGCATCTGAATGCAGCATTCTGCAGGGAACCTGTTGTGATGTTTTCGGAGACTCCTGGACCACCCGCTTACCTGCAGTTTCTTTCTTTAAGGCAAAGCCAAGTTACTGGAAGAAAAGATGGTCCAGGCGCTACAGGACACAGTGTCCATGGAAGATTCCTGAAGAGTTGTGCTTTCTGGGTTGTGGCCTGTTTAAGCCCATGATTCTGGGGGGACAAAGGGCCTGTTGCTTACATTGTGTGCGCCCCAGTTTCAAGGGAGCCTCTGTAAACTGAGTGTAGAAATTAGAAATAAAATGGTGGCCACAAAGATGATGATTCAATTCAAGATTTCTCAGCTATTTCAGGCCAACAAGATGATCAGAGCAGCATATAAAGTGCTGGCTGGATAGGGAACTCTTGTGCCTGGAATTAATTGCCTTAGCGACCTCCTATTTCTTCAGGAAGCAGGAAACGGAGTGCTAGGACATGGCTGGACTGTCTCAGGTGTCTGGATTTTCACTCTGAGCCTTTAAGAAAGCAGACTGCTTCTCGTTGAACTTGCATGAGGGAGTACAAACTCGGGGTGCTCTGCCAAATCCCCCTCAAGGCCCAAAGCCATGGCTGCTTTATGCTCCCAGCTGCCGATCTTTTGAACATTGCAATCTGATGGGGTGCTATGGTTTCTGGCATACTTGAAGTAGCCAGGCTCCGTCTCCTGCAGGCAGTTGGAAATCTTTCTGGGTAGGGTTGGTGGAAGGGATGGCGGCAGAAAACGTGAAAGCAGCTTCCAATGCGCAAGTCAGGAAGCGGCTGTTTCAGCAGCACGTGCCTCTGCTGGATCAATTCTCCACTTGTGGAATACATTTTCAAACAGCAGCAGTCAAAAAGTGTTCCCCCGCAACCTGTAGCCTGATGTGGCTCAGCCCCTTCTTCCACTCTGGGACTCACACCCACCCTCCTCCTGCCCCTCAGTTGCATGGTGTTTCCTGCAGTGGGAAGGGCAGGAACTTTCAGGCTTTCGTGGATCACAGCTATCGCATCTTTTCTGTGCCAGAGAGAAACCTGATTATGAGAGGCTGGGATCAGTTTCCTTCCCTCCCCAGGTGGAAGGATGTTCAGAGAGAAGCTGCCTTTAGAAGAGACCAAACACTAATCTTGGACCGCGCTCTGGTTTGTACTGCTCTGGGAGTAAAAGTGTGTCCCTCTGAGAAAGCGTGCATAGGATTGGACTGGTGGATGGAAAGATGGAGAGAGGTCAGCTGCTGCTTGTTTCTGGCAGAATATTGGGACATGTTCCCAGAGTGGGAGGGCCAGCAGCAGGGCACCCTCAGCACCTCTGCTTGTCTGGGATACCCATCTGGAGAGGCCCAGGGGAAGAGTGCACCAAAAGGCACAGGCAGGCAGCAGCCTGAGGCAAACTGGCATCTTCCTTGGCACAGTTGGCCCGAAGCCAGTCGTCACGCTGCCTGCTCTTCTCAAACGTGTGTACGTGATTTCTGACATCTTACTGAAGAAGGGGGTGTCCAGGGAGGCGCACAGGGTGGCTTCTACAGTGGCCCTTGCTTGGAGAACCCAAGGCAGGAAGGATTCAGCCATCCACCCCTTGGATCTGCCACCTTAGCCTTCTCTTGGTGGTATGATTTGTTTCTTTAGATTTTGTTTATCCCACCTTTATTATTTTTATAAATAGCTCAAGGCGGTGAGCAATACTCCCTCCTCCTATTTTCCCTACAACCACCCTGTGAGGGGGGTTGGACTGAGAAGGAGTGATTGGCCCGAGGTCACCTGGCTGGCTTCATGCCTAGGTGGGACTAGAAGTCACCGTTTCCTGGTTTCTAGCCCAGTGCCTTCACTACTAGGCCAAACTGGCTCTCTCTTACTTTTTACAGCTAATTTTATTCACAGGCTGGTCGAAACTCTTTACCTGTACAGTGGGGCAAAAAAGTATTTAGTCAGCCACCAATTGTGCAAGTTCTCCCACT